TTTTTTTTGCATGGTTGAACTGGATACACTTTTGTCTTTTTTCAGCCAGACTAACTATGTAATACTATGTAAAGTTGTCTGCTTGAGTGGATATCTAGAGGAAGCAGGACTGTAAAGAATCTTCTTGCTTAAAGCTTTTGTAAAGTCAAATTGTTTTTCTTTTAACATAACAAAAATGTTATACTTGCCTGCTCTGTACAATGGTCCTGATCCTCCTCCTTTCAGGTCCCCTGCTGGCACTCCTGGCTCCTGCTTTTTTCGGTGTGCTATCATAGAAAGCCACTTCTTACTGTGGCACACCTGTGGGCTCAGTCCCAAACTGTGCTGTCTGCATCTAAAGCCAATGACTTCTGCTGCTCTTAGCAAAGCTTATGAGAGCGGGAGGAAGAGGAAGGAGTCACTATAGATGGGCACAGTGCTGCAGTGAGATAAGGTAAAATAAGGGGGGGGGGGGGGGGGCAATACACATACTGAGACATCTGTTACTCTAATGCAGAATATGCATTAAGGTAAAACATGTTTAGACTTTAAAGCCACTTGATGAGTGTGTTAGAGGAGCTGGGTAAATGTTGCTGCAGGACATTGTATTGAGCTTTTTTATCCATAAATCAAGAAACATTTCATTGCTAATACTCAACTGTCACTGTTGCCAAACTTATATTTTTCCCCACCATACACCAAAAAACAGATGTTAGTCTGCCACACTATTTCTGGTCATTTCACACCACCCCAAGAAACTGCTACACCTATCTAAAAAGTTGTGCTCTTTGATATAAAAATAATTTTTAAATAGTAAAATGTATGTGATACAGGCATAAATCCTGTATAGTAATAATTTGATACAGCTCCTCATAATGATCTAATACAAAAGTTGTACGAGCTAGAACTTAACCCTTGGGTGATTCAGTGGATATGCAGCTGGCTAAAGGATAGATACCAAAGTGTGGTTGTAAATGGAGTTCACTCAGAACAGAGACCAGTCACTAGTGGTGTATCACAAGGCTTTGCACTAAGGTCCTGTTCTTTTTAATCTATATGTAAGTGATATAACTAAAGGTTTGTTGGGTAAGTTATGTATTTTTGCTGATGACACAAAAGGTGTGTAACCAGGTTGATATCCCTGGAGGTGTCTGTAAAACAGACCATGATTTGGCATTGCTGGAAGATTAGTCAAAAAAGTGGAAACTGCAGTTCAATGTTTTGAAATGTAAAATAATGCACCTAGGGAAAAAAAAATCCTCAGAGTACAACATTGGGGGTACAGTGTTGACTTCAGAGGAAAAGAACTTGGGGGTACATATTTTAGATAATTGTAAAATGTTCAAACAGTGTGGCCAGGCAGTGGGGAAAGCAAATAGAATCACTAGAGGGGTCACAAGCAGGAGGAAGGAGGTCCTGATTCCCCTATACTGATCTTTAGTTAGACCTCATTTAGAATATGGTCTCCAGTTATGGAGACCTCACTTACAAAAAGATATTGATATGATAGAACAAGTCCAGAGACAGGTAACAAAAATGATGAAAGGTCTGGGGGATAAAGCATATCAAGAGCGACTTCAGGAACTTAACATTTACAGTCTGGAGGAAAGAAGGGAAAGGAGAGACATGACTGAAACCTTTAAATACATCAAGGGGGTGAGGTGAATAAGGTTCAGGAGGGCAGTATTTTCAACACAAAACCAAAATCAAGTACACGGAGACATGACCTTAACTAACTGGAGGAAAAATCAAAACTAATCTCAGAAAGTACTATTTTACTGAAAGAGTAGTTGATGCTTGGAATAAACTTCCAGCAGAGGTAGTGAGCCAGCAAACAGTAAATAGCTTCAAACATGCTTGGGACAAGCATAGATCTATACTCAGACACAAAAAAGTTAACAAAGAAAAAAAAAAAAATGTATTAAACCCTCCCCCCCCCGCAAAAAAAAAAAAAAAAAAAAAAAAAAAAAAAAAAAGGTCAGACTCGGTGGACCACTCAGTCTTTTTCTATGTTTCTAAGTGCCAAATTGAATCATACACTGACACTATATGTATGTGTTGCCATTCTTGGGCGTAGATAAGGAGGTATAGGGGAGTCCAAATCCCTCCAGAGCATCCATTGATGGTGCAGGTACAGCAGCTATGTTAGCAATCCCAGCTGGCAGATCTGATTTCTGTTAATGATTTAAAGTAAGCTTTCCCATTTGAGCATCTTCCTGAGGCATAGCATGTTTGTTATGAATATGCCTCAATTGAGGTGGTCTACTTGGGTGGGAATTTTGAAAGAAGCTTGGTGCTCTGCAGTGTGTAGCAGAAGAGTCAAGAGTCAGATGCGTTTATAGAGGGACACTGTAGTAGGCCCAGGTAGGCGACAGTGGTTTTAGCTGGCTCTTACAAATTTTGTTTCTTGTTGGGTGCAATGCATGTGTTTTGTCATCACAGCTTGATGTTTGATGAAACAGTATTTATATGTGATTTTATGTAGAATGATATTGCTACATATAGTGAATTATACGACTGACACGGTTCTAACAGGCTACTTTAACTAACCACTGCACTGTATAAAACATGTTCCTGACCACTGCACTTTGTACAGTAGGCAGAATATGACCTGTTCCTGACCGCTGCACTCTGTACATTGGACTGTATAGGACATAATCCTGACCATTGCACTTTGCAGTGGTCAGGAGTATGTCATATGCAGCCCAACCTACACTCTCCACACCTGCTGTATATGGCATGTTATTGACCATTGTATTTAGTATGCTGGGGCAGCAAATGACATTGTCCCGGCCACCGCACTTAGTACGCACAGTAGTATTTAACATATACTTGATAACTGCAATCTTTATGCTGTAAAGTACAACAGCTGTTTTTAATGAAGTTCTTCTATAAAAGGGTTTGTTCCCCTTGCCCAAAAAACTGCCTATGCAGATAAGGGGTGTCTGTAGAATAAAAGAAGCTCTGCAGTGGGAAGAACAGTGCCCCAAAAACCGGACAAGATCAAGCAAAGGGCCACATTTGGCCTGCGGGGTGCATTTTGCAGACCACTGGTGTAGGCTGTTATGTACCTCATGAAGCCTGAGTGGAAAAATCCAAGGACATTGCCAAAGGAGGCTTAGCTGTTACTGTTCACCTTCACCAACACAGGTGTGACTTTTTTTATTAATAGTAACTTATCATTGGTTTCAGTGTGAGGAATAGTGCCCCATCCTTGGTTTCAGTGGGAGGAATAGTGCCCAATCACTGGTGTCAGTGGGAGGAATAATACCCCATCATTGGTTTCAGTGGGAGAAATATTGCCCCATCATTGGTGTCATTGGGAGCAGTAATACCCTATCATTGGGAGCAGTAGTACCCCATCATTGGTTTCAGTGGGAGGAATAGTGCCCCATCATCGCTACTAGGATGAGGAATAGTGCCCCTTCATTGAGAAGAATAATGCCCCATCATTGAGTGTCAGTTGGAAGAATAGTACCCCATCATTAGTTTCCTTGGGAGGAATATTGCCCCATCATTGCTATTAGTAGGAGGAATACTGCCCCATCATTGGTGTCCATGGAAGGCATAGCACCCCATCATTGGTGTCCGTGGGAGGCATAGTACCCCATCATTGGTGTCCGTGGAAGGCATAGTATCCCATCATTGGTTTCATGGGGAGGCATAGTACCCCATCATTGTTGTCAGTTGGAGGAACAGTGGTCCATCATTGGTTTCATTGGGAAGTATAGTGCACCATTACTGGTGTCAATGAGAGGAATAGTGTCCCATTATTGGTGTCAGTGGGAGGAATAATGCCCCATCATTGGTGTCAGTGGAAAGAATAATGCCCCATCATTGCTACTAGGATGAGAAATAGTGCCCCTTCATTGAAAGGAATAATGCCCCATCATTGAGTGTCAGTGGGAAGAATAGTACTCCATCATTGGTTTCTTTGGGAGGAATAGTGCCCCATCATTGCTATTAGTAGGAGGAATAGTGGCCCATCATTGGGAAGAATAGTGCCCTATCATTGGTGTCAATGATAAAGAATAGTGCCCCATCATTGGTGTCAGTGGGAGGAATAGTGTCCCATTATTGGTGTCAGTGGGAAAAATAGTGCCTGATCACTGATGTCAGTGGAAGGACTAGTGCCCCATTGTTGGTGTCAGTGGAATCAACAGTGCCCCAAGGGCTAGATACAGTCAAGCAAAGGGCCATATCTGACCTGCGGGTCGCATTTTGGAGACTACTGGTGCAGGCCATTTATGTAGCTCATGAAACCTGACTGGAAAACTCCATGGATCCTTCTACGAACACTGCTAAGAGAGGGCCCAGCTGTTACTGTTCACCTTCACCAACACAGGTGTGAGCTTTTCCTCTGATTCAAACCCCCTCACATGGGTGCTCTCTCTCCTGATACACAGTGTGCTGTTTATTTTCCTCTGGGTACCCAAGGCTGACCCCCCTCCCCCACCACCACCACCAGTAAAAAAAAAATAAGTATCTACAGCCCTGCTGACATTGGCAAACAAATTATTTCTGTTCCCAACTTTCATTGCAATGCCAAAAATTTTGCAAGGATGCCAGTTGTCTGAAAGATGAAGTCAACCAAATCAAAGTATGAATATGATGTATACAGTCAGTTTTGGAGTGCTTACTAGCCTTCCTATTAATGGTAGTGGTTAGGTGTTAAACATTTTAAACAGGAAACATGAAAAGATGTAAAAAAAAAAAGGGACATTTATTAATAAACATTGCACTAAATAGATCTCCTTTCAAGAGATCGAGTATATCCCATAAAAATATTTTCCCTGAGGCTGGAACAGAAACAGGTGTCAGTTAAGTAAATGTTACCACTCAGGACGTCCTTGTGGGTGAAGGTTTGGCCACCACAATATTCCCAGATATAAAATATAAGGTCTTTTCCGATTATATAGTAGATCATAAAAAACCGTTGAGACAGGCTCTTTAAGAACCAAATTGTGGCTGCAGAATTCATTCACAGATTATTCTTCGGTGATGAAAATACACTCCAAATTTCAGGATCCTGAGCCCAAACGTTTAATCACAAATTGAAAGATAAGGACAACACCCAATGCCATCAGTACGTATCGGATACTGTTATTTGTCAATTTAAGTACAGCAGCCTGATAAGGATACAAAATGAAACTTAGATCAGAAATTAATTCATATACATAAAAAAAAAAACTTTATATATTATTTGCAGAGTTGCTCATAAACTATACTATTTAACCTTCTTATTCATTTTTAAATAAGAAACATGCTATTTATACACATTTTAAAAAGGAAAAAAAAAGGTGATCAGAAATTACAGTGTATTCCTAAGCAAAGGCAGTCAATGAACATGAATGCTCAGCATGAAGCCGGGAGAGTGGGGAGGGGGAGGGTAATTTTGTAAGATAGCAAAATGCTCCTTATCTCAAAAGGAAACAACAGAAATTGGGACAGGTTTTCTGAGCCACCTGCTCAATGGTGCCCCTTCACCCCTGGATAATAACCATCTCACATGTTCACACACAGAAATAATATTGTCACCCATCCAGATAAACATACCTATTGAGATGTCGTCATCTTTTATAAGTGGGAAAGTATTTCTCTCATGTGGTTGTCCTGTTGACCTGCCATTTTTTTCCCTGTATTTTTAGTTTACCAGACCTTATTAAACACATGGGGGTAGATTTATAAAAACTGGTGCACCCAGCATTTGGTGCAGTTGTACATGGTAGCCAATCAGCTTTCAAACTCAGCTTGTTCAATTGAGCTTTGCCAATAAAAACTGGTGCAGATCTGCATGGAAACCAATCAGTGTCCAGGTTTTGTGTATAAACCCCATTGTGTTATAATATATCCTTTTGTTGAGAAGAATCAGTGGGTCTATTACATGTATGTATTTTTAAAATAAAATCATGCCTATCTTTACTATGGGAAAAAAGATCTTACAACATTAGGGTTATTACCCAAAATCTTAGGTCTGGGACAGATAGAGGTTCTTACAAATAGAAACTCTGGCAATACTCTGGGATAAACAAATATTGTCTTACAGAGGCATGTGTATTCTTACTTGAATCTTGGTGTGCTTTGTGAATTTCTTCCAAATCTGTGCAGTAATCAAGTGTGAAACCTTGCCTCTGCACAGGAGCGTTGTCCTTTTCTTTGTGCAGGAACATTGCCCTTTAACCTTAGCAAAGTTCTCTTAGATCAACTTATCCTATGTTTTTATAGAAATGGAATATCCCCCAAGTAGAGCCAGGACAAGGGAGGGGGAGTAGGATGGGCAGCTGCCCCAGGCATAGCATTTTTTAATGTGTGGGGGGGATTGGAGGGTGCCACAAGAATAGTTACAGTGTCCCCCTTTGGTAATGCAGAGCACTAGCAAACAGGCAATCAGCATAGGCGCCTGCTGTGGACTTTAAGTCCCAAAGACTTCTCCCTGGTCAACTCATCACATGACTGGGGAGAGGATCATGAGATATGACAAGCATAAATATTAAATTCTAAGCAGAGGATACTATTTATATTACAGTTACGTTACATATCTTTCTCTGTGGTCTCAATATATTTCAGCTATGTAATTATACATATGTAAAGCCTTAGCTATATGTTTAATTATGTTTTCTTTGCCACCTTCCAGTGTCATAACTAACATATGCTGATGGCCACAGGCAGCATAATTGGCCAACTGCATTTGGGCAACATCCCTGTTCAGCATCCTGAAAACCAGATATCTTGCAGAAGAGCAGTATGCACAGAAAAACGACATTTTCATTAACATTAACCCATTCTAGAGTATTTCACTTTTTTGGAAAAACTGTATAAACTGAATAATGTACATGCTGTCTAAAATGTCTTTGCTGTTTACTTACCCATCCGCCTTGTCCTTCAATCCATCGGTAAATTCTACTTTCCACCAGGTATCTAGCAAGCCACTGAGCAATCGTTCTTAGAAATTTGCGCCGTCCATTTTTCCACACATAGACAGCTAATCGATATCCAAAGCCAAGGAGTGCTACAACACGTCCCCAATTCACCCCAGTTTCAAAAACACTGAAAAAAGACAGAAGGAAAACAATGTTATACTTCAAAATAAAATGCACAGAAAAAACGGTAAGAAGAAAAAAAAAGAAAAAATAACCACAAATTAAAGTATGAATAATGAGAATGCATAAATAAGAGTAAAAAAATTAAATAAGTCAATAATATATTTAGTTAAATAAACAAATTAGGGCTAGAGGCATAAGAAAAAGCTCTAAGTGAATTTAATATGACTAATTTGGCAGCGATGCTGAAGAAAGGTGCACTGGGCAAGATGTAAGAATATAAAAGGTCATTTATAAAGCAGACATAGTGCCCATGCTTTTAGGTATGTTTATATGCTCTTATCTTCCCAGACAGAGAGTATATTAGAATTTTCCACTGGCCCTAAAGTTAAGTGAGTAAATGTTACCCATTTCTATACACATACTGTAACCAATGTAGCTGAAAAAAAACCTCAAAAAACATTTGGGAATGCAAGGGCCAAGAGTCAAAATGTAGTAGTGTATGTGGTTGCTCGAGGGATAAATGTACATGCTTATCATATTTCTTCAGAACCCCAATGGTGAAATATATCAAAAACACAATATTGACCAATAGTTACAGCCATAAATCTAAATGATGGTGGCATGATCTATGGATTGATTCCCTATAACAGAGTAAATAAAAAATTAGGTCATCCAGCTGCAGAGAAACAAACAGCTTTGTTAAAGGGGAGAGACAAACACTGTGCTTCAGGAAAATGCTGCCCTTGGAGTATTCACAAGATAATAAATACTAAACTTAAAAGGCAACATTAAAAAGGGACCCTGTCACCAGACCATCAACTCAACAAAAATCTTCTCATAAAATTAGGAGGAGAGTGCTAGGATGTGCAAGTAAGTAAAAAAAAAAAAAAATCACCTATGGGAAGGAAAACACTGCAAGCAAGAATTATTTTTTTTTCTTTTTCTGTGCTTTTACCTGCATAATTATAAATTGGTGACAGGGTATCTTTTCTAAATATAAATTTTTTGTGGATTCGACCTTTACTATAGCCTTGGCATCTTCTCTCTTTGTGATTCTTGTAAAATAAAAACCGGGAAAGATGAAACTATGGAAAGAGGTGATAGAAAGTTGCATGTTTATATTATGTTAAAGTGGTTCTAAAGGCAGAAGTTTTTTTCTTACTTTAATGTATTCTCTCCATTAAGGTAAAAAACCTTCTGGATGCAGTCCCCCCCCAGCCCCCCCTTATATTTACCTGAGCTCAATCTTGATCCAGCGATGTGCATGAAAGCCGTGGCTCCTGCTGCTGTCAACAACAGCCAGTTACTTATCTGAACCCCATTGATGTGCACGAGAGTCTAGCTCTCCAGGGATTCTCCTTCCTCATTGGCTTAGACAGCAGTGGGAGCCATTGGCTCCTGCGGCTGTCAATAGCAACCAGTGAGCCAATGAGGAGAAAGAGGGGATGGGGCCAAGCCACAGCTCAGGAGTGAGCCTGCTTGAGAGCCCCCATGGCAAGCTGCTTGCTCTGGGGGCACAAGGCAGGAGGAAGGGACCAGGAGGAAGGGACTGGTGGGGGGGGGACCCAAGAAGAGGAGGATTTGGGCTGCTCTGTGCAAAACCACTACACAGAGTAGGTAAGCATGACATTTTTGCTATTTAAAAAAATGCCTTTAATATCACTTTAACTATTAGTGAATGTTTTTGCCAAAGTCACATTCAGTACTTTTCTATGTGCATCCACAAATGAGAATTGATAGCTACATTGTAAAAAGGTATTTACCCACTGACGTCATCATGGTTTTTGTAACAATATAATATATTAATCCAGCTATCACTTTTTAATCAATTACAGCAAATGTTTTCTTTTTCACTTGGAAAAAAAAAGTTTAAACTTTATGAATAAAAACTAATGTTTTAAGCACCCAGGCAGTGCAATTTGGTTTGACCCAACCCATGTACCTAGTACTTTTGCTGGATGGCTTGGCCTGTTACAAGAAGTGGAATAGTAACAGATCTACTGGTGGGAACAGAGGGTAAAGAAACTATGTTATGGGGTGGGGGGCTGGGGGGTGCTTGTAACAGACTAGATCATATACTATGAGGTTGATTTACTAGAGGAAAATAGACTGTGCACCAGAGCTTAGTAAATGAGGTAAAGCTTCACTTTGCAAAGAATACCCAATCACATGCAAGGAAAAAAAAAACAGCATTTTTTCTTGCACATGACTGAATGATGGAAGTCAGCAGAGCTTCTGCTGATTTACTACTAAGGTCTGGAGCAACTGCATTTTGCAAAGTGCATACTCTATTTGCCTTTAGTAAATCATCTCCTCTATGTTACTTTTATTTTGGCCATCGCTCCCCTTTGAAGTGTATCTAAAATCAAAGCATTTCTGTACAGATTAGAGAATGGATTAAACCAGTCAGTTTGTTGGCATCTGGGCCCAACTTTCTGTCCAGTAGAGGAAGTGAGAAGATATCTCTCAGTGTCCCAATCTAAACATTTTCCTTCTATCCCTCAAAATGTGGGATTTTCACATCCAATATTGATGAAAATTGCTCTACCGGAAAAATAGAGAAGGTGAAACTTTCCAGTGGAAAGACCAACATCAACAAAAACCTGATGGGTTATAACCCTACAATACCCTATCCAAAACTACAAAAAAAGTTTTCTAGTTTCCTTTAATGTTTATATTTAACAAAATGCTGCAGGTTCTACTCCAGTCACACCTCCACCTTCAACAAGCACATTGGAAACCCTTTCCAAATTTTGTTTATCCACTTGAGCTCCAGAAGGTTTTACCCCCCTCACGATCAGGTCATTTTTTGCTACTCAGAAGTGCGCTAATTTAACTGGCAATTGTGAAGTCATGCAACACTGCACCCAGATGAAACCATTTTAACCCCCCCCCCCCCCCCCCAATATTTTCTACTTTATGTTATAAAACATAACCAATAAAAAAATGAAAAAAAAAATGTCTTCATAAATTTAGGCCAAATGTATGTGTGAATATTACTTGGTTTGTGCGAAATTTATAACAGCTATGACGCTATACTGGTAATGGCAGTGATGTGGGGACTGTGATAGTTGGCGGGCTAGCCGATGCTGGCTGGGAGGTATACCATCTGACACTGACATCAATAGGGACACTAATACTGTAATCAGAGCTAATACTCTACACTGTACTGACACTGGCTGGGAAGGGGTTAACATCTAGGGGCAATCAAGGTGTTAACTATGTGCTTAACAATGTGTGATGTGTGTAATATGTGCTACTTTTACTAATACGTGTGGCTGTTTTTCCCCGTTTTGCAGGGAGAAGAAACAGCCACATCGCTGCTCTGTATACGAAGCTCTGTGTTGTTTGTAAATACAGGGCTCTGTGCAGTGACTGGACACTGCCAATCAGCAGGTCCCAGCCATAAATCATTGGTTTGGACCTGCTGCCAAAATTGTGATATGTCTAACTTGGCCTGGCCAGCAGCAGGCGCACGAATATGTGCCCCAGACCGAGAAGTAGGCTTGCAACATTTATGTTGCTGAGCCTGCACCTTCCGACCTGTCACAATAAGTCTACTGTGATGGGGTTGCAGGTAAATATCCAAGTTTAGAATACCACTACCCCCAGTTAGTGCCTCAATCAAAATGGATGGTGGTACATACCAGTTAACAATAGTGTGAAATTATTACAAGTAAAGAGGAGTATGTGGTATTCTACAAAAGACTCCTATTTCATTGTAAACCTATCAACGGTGAATAAGATCAATATGTGATGCTCTGTAACTACATGAAAAATCTTTCTAGTAAAAACTGTTGAAAGTGAAAATTGATGGTGGTGCTAAAATGTAGCCTGTGTGTCCTTTAATATTTCACAATGTGAAATATATATGCTGTACTTATATTCTATTTGATGGATGCTTCAATAAAAGCATTTACATATCCACTGATTATTACTTACACACTTGCTAATTGCTCCTTTAATTTAAGAATCAACACATTTTATCCACTTGTAGTTTGCCATTTTAGTGTGTCTTCTTTTCAAACATTACTTACAGGGAAAGTCCCCTCTGGCTTTCATATAAATCAGCTTCAATCCCGTCATCATTTTATCTGGCTCTCTGCACAGCATGAAAATCAGCGAAATGCTGCACCAGCATTTTATCATTTAATCCTGACGTGGCGCTCAATGATACCCCCTACTGATTACATAAAATGTGTAATCCTACCTTTTGGGAGTCATGGCTTACATTCTACCCAACATTTGAAACTGGGAGTCTTAGTTACATTATTTGAAAATCAGGGTAATGTACGTTATTAAAAGGATGATGGAACATTTTTTTGTGTCTGTATTTAAAATGCACAGTAAGAAGCTGAAAGGGCATATTTATAGATATGGCAGAAAGGAAAAAAAATGAAATTACAGATTTCAAAATGATAGCAAAGCATTTAGATAGTGAAACTGCACTGAATGCAAATTACCTGAGAATGCAGAAAAGATTCTAGCCCATGAAGCGGGCTGGGAAACAGGAGAGAGAATAGAGAAAGTTATGCCACAAAGTCCACGTATACCATATAAAACTTAACTATACCAAAGAACATAGAAATGCACAAGATCCATTCTGATTCCTGGACCAAAGCTGATATGTCTTACCTGATGTACAGTAAACAACATGCCTGAAATGTACACTGCCTTCCCATGGTAGCCAACTTTGTTCTTCCTGTTAGTATTCCTATTAACGTCTAACTTGCAAATGGACTACAACTGAAATCAGAATGGCTGTTGTACAGTCAGTTGCCATAATTATTTGTGCTCATTCACACTTTGTTTTACATAATTGCATAGTTAGTCTGGTTGAAAAAAAGACACAGTCCATCTAGTTCAACCAATAAAAAAAAACCCCCAAAAAACATACAATCCTATATACACAAACCTATACCCATAGTTGATCCAGAGGTAGGCAAAAAAACACAGCAAAGCATGATCCAATTTGCTCCAGCAGCGGAAATAATTCTTTCTTGA